TTATTATCTCATATTTTACTTATCCTTCATCATCTACCTTCTTCCCCTCTCTTCTTTTACTTATACCCTCTACCTCCTTTCTTTCCCCTCTATCTGTATTCATTTCCACTCTACTTTACTCTTCGGAATATCTTACAGTGCAGTTAATTACTTCTCACCTCGTTAAGTATGATGATAAATATATTGATAGATAAGATAATAAACTAATAATGACAATAATAATAAATTAAAATTGATATAATGAGATATAATAATTATTAAATAATTGATAAAGATAATATTAAATATGATAAATAATTTATAGATTAATGATAAATAATAAATTAAATTAAAATAAAATAATATTATAATAAAAATATGATAATTAAATCGCATTGGATACAAATTGATCAAATGATAAATAAATGATAAAGAGAAGAGAGGAGAGAGAGAAAAGAGAGAACACGACAAAGATGAGAGCAAGAGAGAGTAGAGAGAAGAGAAGGAGAGAGAGTGAGAGAGTAGAGAGAGGAGAGAAGAAGAGAGAGGAGAGAGAGAGAGAGAGAGAAGAGAGAGTAGAGGTAAATGAATACAGCAGGTAATGTGATAAAGAGTAAGTAGAGAGATTGGATTATGAAGAGTTAGTTAGTAGAAGAGAGAGATATAGAGATAAATTTATTCTAGTATATGTTGCAGAGAGAACTGTATAGCAATCCTTTGGTATATACGTAAGAAGCAAGCTTTTTCTTCACCTTTATTCTTCTTTCTTCTTCTTCTTAGAAGATGAAGATAAGTAGGAATTAGGTAGATATAAAAAAAAAAAGCCCGTTGCTATTCACTAACATCACTATCAGAACCATTCTTTGCATTTTCAGTAACTGATCTTATTACTATTCGCATCAGAAAGATAACTGTTTCGCATCATAACTGTTCTGAAAATTTCAATATCATTTAAAGGAAGTTTCAATAATAAATTCGAAATACACAAGATTAACCTATGGAAAAGGACACCAATTTATAATGACTTAGCTTGAAAGAACACCATTTTATAGTAACTTGCGTGGAAAGAACACCATTTCACAGCAATTTACCTGTAAAGAATACCAACTTGGAATAACTTGCCTAAATAAACTTACGATGACTTCCCTGAATAGAAAACTATATTAGTGTAACGCCTGAAAAAGAAAACTATCTTGTGTAAACTTGCCTGAAAAGAAAACTATCTTAGTGTAACTGCCTGAAAGAAAAACTATCTTAGTGTAACTTGTGTAACTTGCCTGAAAGAAAAAGAACTTGCTGAATAATCTGTGTAACTCTCCTGACTGAACCCCGTCGACATCCTCCCTCACAGGAGACTCGAGAGACACTGATGGAGAACGGACTCGTCAAGGGCCACGCCTACAGTGTCACGGGGGCGCGGCGCTTCAGGGTGAATGCTCCGCGACGACCCTACGTGGAGCTCTTACGTCTGAGGAACCCCTGGGGCGACGAGGTGGGTGGTGGGTGATGTGGGGGTGGGGGGGGTAGCAGCTTCTTTGTTATCTGTATTTGTCTGTGACTCTCCCTTCGTCTCTGTCTCTATCAATGCCGCTGTCTCTGTCTCTGTCTTTCTCTCTGTCTTCGTCACTCTCTCTCTTCTCTCACTCTCACTCCTCTCTCTCTCTCTCTCTCTCTCTCTCTCTCTTCTCTCTCTCTCTCTCACCTTTCCCTCCCCCCCCTTCTATATAGCAATATAATCATCCTAAACAATAACAGATGCAATACAAATAAATGTCATACAAATATAAACACACGCGTACATGTATGTTTGTATGTATATATACATTCCCATCTACGCAATCACGCACACAACCTAACATAAATACACAGACACACACTATACACCTTAACACTTATACTTATAACACTCATATCCGCAAAAACATGAGAATCTCACGGCCTTTCCTCCACCAGACGGAGTGGAAAGGGCTGTGGAGTGACGGCTGCGAAGAGTGGAATCTGATCCCGAGCTCAGAGAGAGACAAACTCCAGCTGAGCATCGCCGCGGACGGAGAATTCTGGATGTCGTTCAGTGTAAGTGGATGGACTTTCGTGGAAATTTGGCTTGCGTTCTGGGGGGGGGGGGGAATAGGTGCTGAAATTTCCAAGTCGTTGGATAACTGCTGAGTAACCCAAACTGTGTATGTGTGTGTATGTATATATGTATATATGTAAATATGTACATATATACATATATATGTGTATGTATGTATGTGTGTGTATATATATATATATATATATATATATATATATGTGTGTGTGTGTGTGTGTGTGTGTGTGTGTGTGTGTGTGTGTGTGTGTGTGTGTGTGTGTGTGTGTGAATATATCTGTATATATAGATATTGTGTATACATAGATATATCTAACACACACATATATGCGCGTGTGTGTGTATATATACGTATGTTTATATACTTTAACTACGGTATCACCCTAGGACTTCGCAGAGAATTTCGACGAGCTGTACATCACGAGCCTGAACCCACACACCGTCAACGAGGAGGCCAAGGAGCAGCTCTTCTCCTTGGCCGACGTCGTGACCGAGGCCATCCTCCACTCCGAGGTCATAAGGGCAGCTGAGGTCAAGGCCGTGAAGATGTGGGAGGTCGTGACCTTTGACGGCGCTTGGGTCCGCAACGCCACGGCAGGAGGCGGAGATAGGAAGCATAGTAGGTGGATTATTCGAGGTTATCTAAGGTCATGAGGATTAAAACGTTTTAAAAAATGTCTGTCAGGATATTATGTCTCTTATAAGTAAGATAATAAATAGGGAGTATCTATATTGCAGGTGCGTTGGCAGATAGACGAGAATGATAATACATAATGTAAATACACTTTATAATAACCGTATTCATTGTAGCAAATGTAGAAAAGGTGTGAATGAAAATGAATATTTCTGACGAATTTCGAAACGGCCCAAATACATCTCTTGCGAGGACATAAAATCGAAACCAGCTAAATACATATCTTGTTTTGAGGGCATATTCAATCTCATTCATACGTTTTCTACATCATAATTGCTTAAAACAAGAGTAATGAGAGAGGCCATTTGTACATAATAATTGGTAAACATTACCACCTCGTTAAGCTGACGATAATAATAACATATAATGTAAATACAAATAATATTATGATTAACCCATACACGAGTAATGAGGGAGAACATATATATCAAATAATAAACGGTAAACTCTACAACCCCGTTAAACAATTAATAATAAGAATAAATATAAATACAAATAACACTACACATCCTATACAAGTGTAATGAGAGAGAAAGAGCATTTAAACAAGATAATAATAGTTAAGCTTTACGACCTCATTAAGCTCCTCCCTCGCCCCCCCCCCCTTCAGGAGTGTTCTGCAGTAATCCTCAATACATACTCGAGCTGACAGAAGCTGACGACGGCGCAGAAGGCACTTGCGCTACCATAGTGACCCTTATGCAGAAGAACAGAAGGGTCAATCAGCTACCTATTCACCCCATTGGATTTTATATTTATAAGGTGGTATATTTGGTTATTTGTAATATTGTGTGTATTATATAGAGATCTTAATGTAATTGTGAAATGTGTCTGAATCATTCGTGATAAAAAAGACCAATATTCCATGTTAATTATTATAAAAATAGAAGCAATGTTTAGGATGTTGTTTTAATCTAAATTCAATATACAACAGACGTACGATTTTTTTAGATTAAGGAAATATCTACAAACTGACCTAAGAACTCAAGGAAAGTAATAGACGACCTTTTTATCGTCTACCAAATCTACTACATCGTATATAGATAGATAGACAGACAGACAGAGACAGACAGACAGACAGGACAGACAGACAGACAAACAGACAAACAGACAGACAGAATAGAGATAGATAGACAATTAAACTAAAAGATTAAATAAACAACACCAAACCCTTCCACTCTCAAACCACCCTTCCCCTTCCCCCCCCCCCCAACATTCTCGCAGCTCGAAGAAGGAGAGAGAACACCCAACCCACTCACCGTATCTTGGCTCAGGCTGAACGTCCCCTATTTCTACACGAAGACCTTCTCCAGGGCAAGGACTGTGACCCACCGCCTTGCCCTCGACCCCGGCAGGTACCTGGTCATCCCCTGCACACCCGAGCCAGACCAAGAGGCGGAGTTCCTTCTGCGGGTGTTCTGTGAGAAGCTCGTCAGGATGGAGTGAGTGTTCGAGGGCCGTTCGCTGGAGAGGGTGGGGGGTGGGGGGGGGGTATAAGGAGGGAAAAGAATTGGTCTTGATTCTTTCGGGGTGTGGGGAGGGGGGTGGGGGGGCTTTATTTTATTTTTGTTTTTGTATTCTCTTTTCCTTTCTTTATCTTTTTCTTCCTTTCTTTTCGTTTCCTTTTCCCTTTTCTTTTCCTTTTTGTTTGTTTTCTTTTTTTTATTTTCCTTTTTTATTTTTTATTTTCCTATTTTGTTTTTCTTTTCTTTTCCTTCCCTTTTTTTTTTTCTTTCCTTTCCTTTGCTTTCCGTCTCATTTCCTTTTCTTTTATTGTTTTTCATCATCCTACTCTTCATCTTTCTTCTTTTTTCACACATGTGTTAAAGTTTTTTGTTTCATTTTAGGGAGTACGACGAGGAGGCCCAGATTCTCGATATTGCTTATGTAAGTAGCAAAACATGCAATATACTTACATGCAATATACTTACATGCAATATCCAATACATGCATATGCTTACGTATCACACGTATATGGTATTGTAAATTTAATTTTACATACACTAATGACAAATATCATATAAAGATTGGTTTAACATGTTCTAAAAACACTTAAGATTGAGAAAAACAGCCATGTGTAATATTTATCGCTAATCTTAATACTAGCGTCACCTTAGACACTTTAATTAATGACAGTGACTTTGCAACCAAGGTCATAATGATATAATAACAATCCAAATTATTATTACCACATTAAATAACAATTCAAATGATTATTACCACATTACATTGCCTTCGATCTTAATAATAATAATCACAATAATTTTTACCATTAGTATGAGTTTCTCCGGCCATTTGTCACCCCCCCCCCTTCCCTTCAGGAGTCAGAGGACGAGGTAGACCACAGCATCGAGGACCACCTGCGCGCTGTGTTCCGAGAGGCAGCTGGTGAGGCCAACGATGTGGATGCTGTGAAGTTGCAGGCCATGCTGGAACAGCTCTTCCCTTGTAAGTCTTTTTTACTATGCATATATTTTTTTTTTTTTTTTTATTTTTTATTTATTTATTTATTTATTTATTTATTTATTTATTGTCTTTTATTAATTTTCGGTAAGCTTTTTTTCTTCTTCGTTTTGTTTTTTTGCAAAGAAACCTGTGTTTACACGTAACTGAATCTCAGATTGCCATTCTTGAACCAGTTTCTCCTTTTTTCTTTTGGACTCCATTCTCGATCTGTATAAACCTTAAACTTAAACCAATGTGTTTCTTATTAGATCTCTCAGGATAAACTTTAAACTTAAACCAATTTCTCTTTTAATCACTCTGGATCTATATAAACCTCAAATAAAAACCAATTTCTCTCTTATTCTTTTTCGATCTACATACACCTTGAACTTACACCAATTTCTCTCTTATTGACTCTCGATCTCTATAAACCTTAAACTTCAACCAATCCCTCGTTGATTTATTTTCAGTCTACATAAACATACTTAAAAAACAATTCATCTTTAATTTATTCTCGATCTACATAAACCTTAAACTTAAAAACAAATTTCTCTTTAATTCATTCTCGATCTACAAACGCCTTAAACTTAAAAAACAATTTTATTCACTCCATACCTACTTTAAACTTAAACCATTTTCTCTTTTATTCACGCTATACCTACTTAAAACTTAAACAAACCATGCCTACTTTTTTTCTTTTATTCACGCTATACCTACTTAAAACTTAAACCAATTTCTCTTTTATTCACGCTATACCTACTTAAAACTTAAACCAATTTCTCTTTTATTCACGCCATACCTACTTAAAACTTAAACCTAAACCAATAAACCTCTCCAGCTGCAGGTTTTGCGGACTCGCTCGACTTCACCCGGAGTTTCCTGGCCATGATGGACCTTGACTTCTCAGGGACAGTCAACTTCTATGAGTTTGAAGCCCTTTTCTCGTCTCTCAGCCGCTGGGTGGTGAGTTCGAAGGAATTTTGGGTTTTTGTTATATTTTTGGAAATTTGTTGTTATATATATATCTGTCTATCTATCTTTTTTTTTTTTTTTTTTTTTTGGGGGGGAGGGTATTTCATAGTGCGAAGTTTTTGCTTTTATTTCGGAATTATTTGTTATTATTTTTTTGTTTTGTTTTCTCTCCTCCTTTGGGGTTATGTTATTTTTGATGTATTGCGTATGGAGGGAGAGAATATTATATGTAATTATTGTTTTATTTTGCTTGCCCATATATTCATGGCATACAGAATGGATTGTGTGTTTGCAAATTTTGTAAAAAAATGATGTAAAATGATAATAATAGTAATAATAATTGTAAAGATAAAAATAATAACAATGTTAATAATAGTAATAATATTAATTGCAATGATAATAATAATAACAAGATGACAATGGCAATTCTAGCGGTAATGGTAATGGTATTGATATAATGAATAGTAATGGTAATAACAGCGATAACAATCAGTGCACGAAACTTCCCCCCCCCCCTCACCGCGAGAAGGCGCGAGAAAAGTCGATTTATGAGGGGTGAGAAAACAACAATAATATACATCCAAGAAATCCATTTTCCTCACGCCCTCAAATACAATAAAAAATATATTATATAAAGATCCATTTTCCTCGCGCCCTCAAATACAATAATAATATATATAAAAAATCCATTTTCCTCACGCCCTCAAATACAATAATAATAATATATAAAAAATCTATTTTCCTCACGCCCTCAAATACAAATATATATATAAAATTCAAAATACATAATATATATATAAAAATTCCATTTTCATCAATACAATAATCCATTTCCTCGCGCCCTCAAATACAATAATAATATATATATAAAAATCCATTTTCCTCACGCCCTCAAATACAATAATAATATATATTAAAAATCCATTTTCCTCACGCCTCAAATACAATAATAATATATATATAAAAATCCATTTTCCTCACGCCCTCAAATACAATAATAATATATATATAAAAAATCCATTTTCCTCACGCCCTCAAATACAATAATAATATATATAAAAATATCCATTTTCCTCACGCCCTCAAATACAATAATAATATATATATAAAAGATCCATTT